TGCGGAGAAACCCCCACACATTCGGTCACAGAAGTCTTCTGTGTTGATTGTTGCAGTGTGAGAGTAGAGGAAAATTTGTTTTTTCCTCTCACACACTAATGCTTGGTATGTATTCCTACTTAAGAGAGAAATATTAAAAAGCTGATTGAAAGTCTGTGTGGTTATTTAATGTTTATCATCTGGTGAGCTTCCCTGTAGAGTATGAAGCAAAGACTGGCTTTTTAATTAAAGAACCCCCAATTGTCACTGTCAGTGAGCCTTTCGTCTTGGACTGTGCCCCTTGCTAAGGAAGAGGACTGGGAGTTTAAGACTTGCGCGTACTAAGTTCCTCTTCTAAGTGTGGCATCTCATTTCTCTGCGCTCTGCCTGTTGTGGCCAAGCGCGGAACTTCCTCAGGGGATCTGCCCTCAGGTGGCTGCCCCCTTCTGTCTCTGCCATGTGGCTGAGTGCCCCAGCCTCAGTCCCCCTGGAAGCGTCCCTGTGTCTGACCATACTGTCTGATCTGGGTGAAGATCCCACAGGGTGGTTTCTTCCGACTTTTCTGGAGACTGGCATGTAAGTGCCTGCCCAGCAAGTGCAAGTGACCAAACTATATATTCCTTGGTGTGTGAATCCGCAGTTTCCTCGAGTCATTTCTCCCTAGCAGCTTAAGTTTAAGCTGGCTTGAAGCCTGTTCCTACAGTCTTCCCTGCTACTACTCAGGTTTCAGTACACTTGAACCCTCAACTCATAAGTCTTGTCTTTTTGTCTTAAAAAGGAATTCCTGACATCTTAGTAAGTGCTACAAATATCCCTGACTATTAATACAACCATTCGAATTATCCAGTGAGGGGATATTGCATTACCAAAGTGTTTCAACTTTTTAAAACCCATCCCCCTGCCCTGAACTGTGTAAAATTGAACCCACTTTGTAAGGTATGTCTTTTCTCTAACACATCGTACAGCAGTGTATCCTGTTTTAATGGTTTTATACTGAGGCTGCCTCTCAGCCTTGTTTTTAATGAACTGTAATTACTACTTTGAATTTGAAACTCACATCACAGTTTGGCCATTAGATGCTCTTTCTTCAGCTGGTTGGCTTCTTTATGCTTTCTAAAGGCACTCTCAGAAGTATCTTTGCTTTTTGACAGTAAGACTTCTTAGAGACATCTTGAGGGAGCCTGCCCCTAGATTGTAACCAGCTCATTTTCGAGGAACGCTGGCTCCTTTTAGAGGAAACTGGTGTTAGAGATAGAAATCTCTGGCATTGGGAGATACATGAGATTGTTCTACACAATGACTAAAGGCAGACAGATGATACAAGATAAGTTACTTGAGTCAGCAGAACAATTACCCTCTTTCAAAGAATTGTGAGTTTCTGTTGCTAATTCCAGTTTAAAGTTCTTTTCTGTCTTGTAATCTGATTTTCCTTTTCTCTAATTGTTTTAGACTATTTCATATAGGCACACTAAAGATATGTTTATAATGTCCTCTAGATATAGAAGTTTCTAATTTTTTCTTTTCTTTCTTTTTCTTTTTTTTGAGACAGGGTCTCGCTCTGTCACCCAGGCTGGAGTGCAGTGGCCTCATCACAGCTCATTGCAACCTTGAACTCCTGGGCTCAAGCTATCCTCCTGCCTCAGCCCCCTGAGTAGCTGGGACTACAGGTGGGCACCACCATGCCCAGCTAATTTTTTTGTTTTCTGTAGAGACAGAGTCTCACTCTTGCTCAGGCTGGTCTCTTTTTTAAGAACTTTTTTATTTTTAATTATGGGTACATAATAGTTGAATGTAGTTATAGGGTACATGTGATGTTTTGATACAGGCATACAATGTGAATTAATCAAATCAGGGTAATGGGTGTCCATCACCTCAGACATTTCTTTGTGTTAGGAACATTCCAATTCCACTCTTTTAGTTATTTTAAAGTGCATCCTAACATTATTGATTATAGTCACTTTGTTGTGCTATCAAATATTGTTTGTTATGTCTAACTATATTTTTGCACTCATTAACCATCCCCACTTTATACCCCTATCCCTGCTACTCTTCCCGTCCTCTGGTAACCATCATTCTACTCTGTCTGCATGAGATCAGTTGTTTTTAATATTTAGCTCTCACATGTGAGTGAGAGCATGTGAGATTTGTCTTTCTGTGCTTGGCTTATTTCACTTAATATAGTGTTCTCCAGTTCCGTCCATGTTGCAAATGACAGGATTTCATTCTTTTTTATGGCTATGTAATATTCCATTGCGTATATGTGCCATGTTTTTTTCCTTTTTGAATCTTGACTCAAGTGGCCTAGAATTGATTTCTAAGTCTGCTGTCCAGTTTCTCCTTCTTGTCATTCTTTGAGACCCAACTTCATGAAAAGTAAAAGAAAACCAGTTTTGCTCCAGGGAAACACCAGAGAAAACATAGGTATAATATCTGGCAATTCAGATGTTGACCCATATAATTAGTAGATAATAATCAGATATACTAGAAAATCTCTAGGTCCTTAAGGCTTTACCTAAAACTCTCTCTTTTTTTTTAATTTTAATTTTTAAATTTTTTTTAGAGATAGGGTCTCACTCTGTTCCCAGACTGCGGTGAAGTGGTCTGATTATAGCTCACTGTAACCTCAAACTCCTGAGCTCAAGCAGTCCTCCCACATAGCTGGGACTATAGGTACACACCACCATACCTGGCTCATTTTTAAATTTTTTGTAGAGACGGGATCTGGCTATGTTGCCCAGGTTGGTCTCGAACTCCTGGACTCAAGTGGTCCTTCTGCCTTGGCCTCCCAAAGTGCTGGGAATTATAGGCATGAACCACTGTACCTGGCTTAAAACTCTCTTTTAACTCTTAATCTTCATGGGTGCTAGTGGCAGTATGTTAATCTTACAGGCATGTATGATTGTTGGGCTCAGATTATTAAAAGCCTTTGAATAAGGGAAGTTGTTCTTAATCTCAATATTACACTAGTCTGACATTTTGACTATTAAGAATGGTAGCAAATGCAGCTAAATTCATATCAAGAACCACTGGAGATTTAAAGAAATTCACCACAGAAGCTCAGGAGATGTCTTTCTGTTGCTCCATATTTTTATATTATTCACCGGACTCATAAGGTACCAACAAAGTTGTATGGCAACATTTCAGTCCAGTTTTATGTTTGTATCGTAGCTAGCTCCCACTACCTTTCAAAGTAATTTTTAGCCTATACCCAGATTTTTTTTCTATATGAAATGCAAACTGTGAATTCATGTCGTGGACATGGGAAGCTGTAGTTTAAGTGTCCAGGCTGTGGCATGAACGAACATGCTCTGCTCTGCCAGCCCTGTGTTCTGGAGTGGTAACACCACTGCAGAGCTGTGATGCTGTCTGACATTCCAGCCTGTATTTTTAATTTTTAAGTTTCGCTTCACCTGAAAGCAGCACTTTGGCTTGGTCACTGCTGCATCCTTAGTGTCTGGGACAAGGTTGGGTACACATTAGGTGCTCTGAGAATATTTGTTGAATGAAAATATGATGGTATTATTTCTTTGCCTCAAATCCTTTTGGAAATAAATGATTGTTTTAGGATGTTTTTGGCTGTAAGTTGCAGGAAACCAAATTCTGCCTAGCTTAAGTGATAAACCTATCATTTTGCTTAGCAGAAAGCCTTGGGTTAGGGTGGGTTTGGGGGTTAGTTGAGTCGGTGGCTCAGCAGGGTGAGCTCTGCTATCTCTAGTGCCGCCTCGGGCTGGTCCCTCATGGTCAGAAGGTGAGCTTCTCTGTTCACATCCGCCGGGAGAGAGGAGGAGAGTGGCTTTCTGGCTTTCATTTGCTGGGGATTGTATGTTCGAGAACCCTAAATGTAGGGGAGAAGGATTGGGGAAAGATGAAAAACTTATTTTCTTTCTTGGTGAGGACAGTCAGCATAAATTGGCAAAAACTGCAAGAACAAGAACTTTCAGAGTACATGGTTTAGGAGATGCTGGAGTATAGGACAACGGAGGCTTGTGGAGCTCCTTTTCTAAGGGTTTGGAGAACAGAGAGAATTCAGCCATGCTTAGGCCTGGGGAAAGAGGTACCTGAGGCATTTGCTCTTCTGAGGGTCCCACTTGGGCTTCTGCTTCATTTTGCTAACCCTCTACACTGTCCGAATGCCTTAAAGAAATACCTAAAAAAGCTAAAGTAGAAAACCTAAGTGGCCCATAATCTCAGCTTCCAAATAATATTTGTTGATTTCAAAGATGAAATGAAAATAATACATGCAAATTATTAAAACTAATGCAAACAGTACCGGAAGGTGTAAGCGGACTGTCACCCTCTGTTATGCCACACACACAGTGTCGCCTCGCTCTGCTCCCTGGAGATGCGCATGGTTCCCAGGCCCTGGGACTCCTTCCATCCGACAACTGCAGGTGTCGGTGCGTGTGCTGCTGCTCTTTCTCGTTCTTCTCAGTCTGCATGGCGGCCCGCTGCCTGTGGGGTGCTCGCTCAGCAGGCTTTTGCTGTGTGGTACATTGGCTGTGGCTTGTTTTCGAGGTATAAGCAACGTTACAGTGGCTGTCTTTCCACACATGTCGGCGAATCTCTGCGCAGATGTCAGGAAGGCACATTCTCAGTAGTGGTGATATTGCCAGGTGAAAGTATCTGAACTTTGAAAGTTTTGGTAGGTTTTGTTAAATTCCCTTTCAGAAAGGTTGCAACCATGTCTCTCTTACTGTGACGCTTTCTCCTTGCTGCTGATGTCATGGAGTTTTTCATTTGTGCCCATCTGATAGGTAAAATTGTCAACTTCACATTTTGATTTTTATCTGTTGAATCGAGAGAGGAACTGAGTATCTTAGGAGTTTGTTGGCCATTTGTGTTTCTTTTTCTGTGAACCACCAAATGATTGCCTTTTCTTTATGACATATGTGAGCTTTGTAAGTGAAGGAAGTAGGCCCATTGCCACCATATGTTGTAAATGTTTCTTCTAATTTGTCAGTGCTCTTTTTGACTTTTTTCCATACAGAAGATTTTTATTTTTACGGAGTTAAATTTATCAGCCTTTTTCTCAGTGACTTCTGGTTTTCTGCCCTGGCCACTCTGCCAGCTGCTACCAGCGCAGCACACTGGGCCACACAGACTCCCGCTGGGTGTGATGGGCGTGCAGCTGCGGCAGCGGGCCCCGGAGCTTCAGGACACTGGTACGCTGCGAGAAGCCCCAGGTCCTTGACAGAGCTAAATCTTAGTGTCCCTAGGGCTGCTTCGTGTTTGTTGACCAGAGTTAGACTCAGTGTGGGGGGCAGGGTGGTGAGGCTGAAGCCTGGTGGGGGGGGCATAGACCCCACTGAAGAGGTGTCGGGGCAATGCCAGGTGGCCGGCGAGGTGAAATGCTTTGGGCCCTTCCTCAGCTGACACTGAAGGGGATTAGGATTGAGACTTAGACCAGGCGGGCTGTTCTCTTTCTGGGTGTGATTTTGAACCTGCCTGTTCTTGTCTTGTAGGTGAAGAGATGGCGTTTGTGAAGAGCGGGTGGTTGCTGCGACAGAGTGAGTACGGGACCCAGGCTGCGACCAGCATTGCTTTAGGGCACATCTTTATTTCTGTTTGCTAAAACAGATCACCTTTAAAAACAAGTGGTAAAATCTTATTATCAGTGTTGTTGCCCCACATTTCCTCTTGGAAGTTTTTAGAGCTTAGTGAACTGTCTTTCTGCACACACGGAGCTCCGCCCTGGTTGCCGAGTGGGCAGAAACCAGGAAATGATGCGGCCCTTTCCCGATTTCTCTTTCCTCACTGGCTGCTTTATTACTCATGGCTGACCTGAGACTGCCTGAGTCTAATCACGCCCAGCTGGTATGTTGGCATGGAGCTCTGGTCTCTTTGCCTGTCGCATCTGAGGATTCAGCAGTGACTCAGATTCTGAAATACTAGAGTCTTTGTAATTATGTGGATGAAGACTTGACCTGAGGGAGTGAGCTTATTTAAAACCAGAACTTTCGTATCTCCAAAAGGACTCAATTCTTTATTCCTGGGATTGAGATCTGCTTTCCTAGGCTTGTCTGTGGGCCTGTCTTTCATACACTGTCTGCTTGTCCCTGAGGCTGCCACTCCAAGTGGGATCATAGTGTATTTTAAAGCAGGAAGAACCAGCTCTATTTATTGAAGAAGGAGTAAGCAGATAATTGCGCTGGCCTTCAAAAAGAACAGAATTAAGGGAAAAGTGACTGTTACAGTATTTATGACTCTAGTGAAAAACCGATCACATACTGTTCATTGGTCAGAGACATGAATTTATGTTTGAGAGATACCTTTAGAAATTAGCTAAAGTTGAGTATAGCAGTGAAGAATCAACTGCATACCTTGGATGGTTTATAAAAACTGCTGTTCATGAAGCTTATTTGTGTTCCTGTTATAAAGATTTTATATATATATTCTTATTTAATTCTCCGAACAGCTCTGTGAGATAGATGGTATTATTTCCAGTTGAAGAAATCGAGATTCACTGAGATTAGGCAACTTGTCTAAGTGTGAACTATGGGCGGCAAACCTATATTCAAACTCAGGACTGTCTGATTCCAACGCTGACATTATATCTACCCAGAGACGGGCCTTCAGCCTGTCTGTCTGTGACTAGTTCTACATTCCCAGACCTGGGCCCTTCCTCAGCTGACACTGAAGGGCGTTAGGATTGAGACTTAGACCGGGCGGCTCTTTCTGGGTGTGTCCTCAAGGTCTGTGACAGCCCAGTGGTCTTGAATAGACAGCACTGTGCCATGTTGGCTTTACAAAGATAGTTCTGGCATGTTGGAGTCTAGCCCCATTGTTCGTGTAAGTTTCCTTGTCTTCGGTTTTGTGGTCCCAGTCTCCCCATGGTCATGGGACATGGGGACGTGCCCTCCTTTGCAGGTCCTTCATATGTCATCTGGTTTTCTCCTTAGGCTCTACCACACCCTTGTTCTAGGGCAGACTTTCCCTCCCCACCACAACTCGATATGAATGCTCTGTCAACATGGTGAATACCACGCTTGTGCTTCCCATCAGTGCCTAGCATAGCAATGCTCATACAACAGATGTCCTTTAAGTAAGTGGCACAGACCTTTTCAGTGACCTGGTCCATAGTTGTTTCAGAAATGTGTATTCAGAAGACTTATTCCATAACCCCATATATGGATGTGTGGGTTTGATTTTCCTTCTTCGCTGAAAGCAGAAGTGCCAATCTCAATAAAATAAAGTGAGGCGAGATGTATTAACATTTCACCTGGTTGCAGAGCTGTGGTTATATGTAGGCAGCGTAGTCCCCAGGGTTGCTTTTCTTGCCATCGCCACATAGACCGTTGGGACCCCGGATTTGACCCCTGAAGGACGGCCTCATTTGGGACTGGGAGCCAGGGCTTTGATGGTGGGTGAGATACTTGGGCAAAACTCCCTGACCTGGTGATTCCGCCTGTCTGTGTGTGGCTGTTTGGTAGTTTCTGTACAGCTCAGGTGCTGCCAAGCAAATGGATGCTGGGTGTCACCTGTGGCTCAGTTTGGGCAAGTGCTGTGGATGCCCCTCCAGGTGAGGAGGGTGCCTGACACGATTAGGAAGGCTGGATGTCCCATACTTGGTTGACACCAGTAGCAGATATGGGACCGTAAAGGGAAGTACGTGGAATGGGGTTTGTGTGTGTTGGCCAAGAACAGGATAGGAAGTGCAGGAACAAAAGGCGCAGTGGGCAGTATATGGGTGTGAGGAAGGTGCGGGGTGACCTGGAGCTAACCTGGCCTCTTATTCTACTGCAGGGGTTTTCCCTTCTGGCAGACAAGGAAATTACAGTTTTATAAAGTGCGGGGAGGTAGCTAAGCTCCCAGCAAAAAACCGGGTCCCTTTGGTAGAGTTGCAAGGGATAAGAAAATAATAGAGAAAAATGGAAAATGGAGGAAATAAAAGAATACACTGAGACAAAGATATAGTTTTATAAGTTTATAAAGATTATAGGCAAAGCGGGATCTCAGGGGACCTAGACCTTGTCCGTGGGTCTCAAAAAGCCCCGAATGAGGTCTTACATGGTAACTTATAGGGAACAGTGAACAATTGTCAGGGGTAACAGAGTCACATAACAGCAGGTAGTTCCTCTCAGGTTAACAGATTTTCAAAAGCCTTCTACAGATTCTTTAACTAATTCTATCTACATGAGCGAATGGTTACAAATCTTTCAAAGGTTAACTTCTAAGTTCTAAGGTAAGTTTATCACTTAACAGAGGGGTTAAACAGAGATATGTTGGCTCCATGTTTATTAGGTTATTGTGAATGGAGACAGGTAGTCTAGAGTGTTAAAACAAGAGCTTTGCTTTTAGCCATTCAGGCAGCTGTTTGTTCCAGGGGGCACTCCATTGTCAGCTCTCATCCTGTAGTTTTTAACAGATTCACTTTACTTTACAAAGCAAATCCAAACCTTTAGGTCTGAGAAACGGGGCGCCTCGTGGGATACAGCCCAGCCGCTACTGTCTTTCAGAGACACCCTTCTGAGTGTAACAGTATTTGAAATGCAAACCAACACGTTCACATATTCCTTCAGGACAAAGCTCTGAAAAACTCCTAAGACAAATCCTGTCTGCAAACACGTTTTTGTTTTTTTTTTTTTTTTGAGACAGAGTCTCACTGTGTTGCCCAGGCTAGAGTTCCGTGGCGCCATCCTAGCTCATAGCAACGTCACACTCCTGGGCTCAAGCGATCCTCCTGCCTCTGCCTCCTGAGTAGCTGGGACTACAGGCATGCGCCACCATGCCTGGCTAATTTTTTCTATATGTTTTTAGTTGTCCAATTAATTTCTTTCTATTTTTAGTAGAGACGGGATCTCGCTCTTGTTCAGGCTGGTTTCGAACTCCTGAGCTCAAACAATCCGCCCGCCTCGGCCTCCCAGAGAGCTAGGATTACAGGCGTGAGCCACCGCGCCCGGCCTGCAAACATGTTTTTATATTAATTCATGGAGCAACAATAAAGTTAAGTGCCTAGTCGAAGATTACAAACGAAGGGATGAATTCTCTCAAACTAACAGAAATGTGTGAGGTGGTAGGATGTGCACAGGGTAGGAGTTGGGGCCCTGGGCCTGGGTCCAGTGTCTGCATCTGTCTCTGCACCTGCATCAGGAAGGGAGACTCCTCCCACACTGGGCTTCCTATGAGGGTAAATGTTAGGAAAGAGTATATGTATGTGAAAGCTCTTAAGAAAAAAGAAGAATCTAATATTTTTCTAAAAGAGGAAGGTGGTATTTTTATTTGCATATAGAGACTTTACAGACCAGCATTTTCTTTATTTTCTTTTTTTATTTTTTTGAGACAGAGTCTCACTGTCGCCTAGACTAGAGTGCCATGGCGTCATCCTAGCTCACAGCAACCTCAAACTCATGGGCTCAGGCAGTCCTCACGCCTCAGCCTCCCCATAGCTGGGACTACAGGTGCGAGCCACCATGCCCGGCTAATTTTTTGTTTCTATTTTTAGTTGCCTAGCTAATTTTTTTCTATTTTTAGTAGAGACGGTGTCTCGCTCTTCCTCAGACTGGTCTCGAGCTCCTGAGCTCAAAGCAATCCACCCGCCTCGGCCTCCCAGAGTGCTAGGATTACAGGTGTAAGCCACCACGCCTGGCCAAATCCAGCATTTTCCGATAAATTTAGCAAATTTAGATACTGGGAAAGTTTAGACTAAAGTTTAAAAAGTTTAAAGTTTGGTTCTATATGAGGAATTATATGTTAGACATGTTTCATTTGCTAAAGAGCAAGGTGTTTTTTAAAAGCCTAACTTTAAAATAGGCTGGGCATGGTGGCTCATGCCTGTAATCCTAGCACTCTAGGAGGCTGAGGTGGAAGGATTGCTTGAGGCCAGGAGTTCAAGACCAGCCTGAGCAACATAGTGAGACCCTGTCTCTAGAAAAAAATTTTTAAAATGAGCTAGGCATGGTGGTGTGTGCTTGTAGTCCCAGCTACTTGGGAGGCTGAGGCAGGAGGATCTCTTGAGCCCAGGAGTTTAAGGTTGCTATGAGCTATGATGATCCCACTGTACTCTCGCCCAGGCAACAGAGTGAGACATTGTCTCAAAAAAAAAAAGTTTTGAGGCTTCTCAGTTTGCTGCCTTCACAGTGTTTGTGGTGTGTGCTCGGTGTAGCATTTTTATAGCATAGGTGGTCAGGCCATTGTGATTCGCTTTCATTTCCTTTTGGATGGACTACTTTGGGTAATTCTGTGCAGGTATGCTTAGGTGGCCAGGGGAAAGTTTTGTTTCTGCTGTGAATGAGAGGTCAAAGTCCTTGCTCTTTTGGCTCAAAGCCAACCTCTCAGCTGGGTGCTGTGGTGCACACTTGTAGTCCCAGCTACTCACAAGACTGAGGTGGGAGGATTGTTTGAGGCTGCAATGCACTGTAAAATTGGGAAAAAGCTCAGCTTTATTGATCCTCAGCTGGGGAATAGTCACTGCACTCCAGACTGGGCAGCATAGCAAGACGCTGTCTCTTAAAAGATGGAATTGAGAGAAAAAACTGCCAACCTTTCCCATTTTTTTCAGGTACTATTTTGAAGCGCTGGAAGAAGAATTGGTTTGACCTGTGGTTAGATGGTCACCTGATCTATTATGATGACCAGACTCGACAGAGTATTGAGGATAAGGTCCACATGCCAGTAGACTGCATCAACATCCGTGTGGGGCACGAATGTCGGGGTAAGCTGGCTTGTCTTAGCCAGTATCTGTCATCTACCCCCCTCCGTGTCCCCATCCTTGGTGGAAACTGGATCATCTTCCCTGTTCTGCTTTCATTAACAGATTGAAGAAGGGCTCTGTCTGGGAGGGGCAACCACAGTGGGGCTCCAGGCCCAAATGGTTGGAGCAAATACATTTCCCCCTCTGCATAATACCCACCAGCCCATGTTCCTTCCTGTCTTATGGAGAGGGAACCAGAGTGCTGGGAACCTCAAGAAGGATGGGGCCACCCTAGACCATATGAAACTGGGATCTGTTTGATGGCGACTCCAGTTTCTTAAAATCTGTGATGTGGTTTTCTGGAGTTATTCCTTATATTCATTTTAAAGGAATAAATTTTGTGGAAGTCTTCTTGGCAGCTAGTCTTGCCAGTCAGCCGAGCTGTGTTCTTTCTGCCTTCTTGGTCAGGCCAAGGGTTCTTACTTGGATGTAGCACTTGATTTATTTTCTAGTCCTTTGCTTATCTGAACTGTTAGGTCTTAGAATATGTAAGAAGAAATTCTGGGAAAAAGTCCTTTATTATTCTTATTTTTTATAGATATTCAGCCTCCAGATGGGAAGTCAAAAGACTGTATGCTGCAGATTGTTTGCCGAGATGGGAAAACTATCAGTCTTTGTGCAGAAAGCACAGATGATTGTTTGTAAGTTTTGGTTTCTTATGTGTTTAATTTAAACCATATTTTCTGTTTTAACTTCCAGTTATCAGGAAGGGAAAAGAATGGGAGTGGAGTTTTCCTTCAGGCAGCAGAATAAGGGACTCCATGCAAGTGTGAGGGAAATGTAACAGCTTTTCCTGGTTCTGGTTTCTGCCTTTCTGGGACTGCCTGGGCAGGTCCCATTAGGCAGACAGTGATAGCGTCTCTTTGTGCTCTCTGTTTTCATTGTGAGATTCACACTGGGTGATGGGCACAGTTGAATGGCTTCTTAAATCTTGTTCTTTTTTTGTAAATGTCTTTTTAAAAAGCACCCACATTCAGCTTTTTCCTTTCTATGGTGGTCGTTACTCCATCTGCCGTCTCTGAGGAAGGGATGGGGAAAACCCAACTTTATTAATCCCCAGCCTGTTAACGTGTGCATTGATACTGGATCAGAATCTTGAAAACACTGACTGAATAAAACCTGGGGAGAAGAATGAGTTTTTCTGTCTACTTTGTACCACTTCAGTGGCTTAACTCTGAATGTTGTGAGAATCTACTAACAGGTTGCTGAAATATTCAAACATACATGACATTTTCACAAAATCCCACAGAGCATTTCGTCAGTGCCTCCCCCACATTCACATCCGTGCTCATCCTCGATGTGAGCGTTACTCCATGCCAAACTCTAGGGTCAATTTTAAATCCCAGAAGTAGCTTCTTTTTTATACTCTTCTGATTTATATCAGTGAATCTTAAATGGCACATTCTGGAAGAGGTGGGGCTTTCCTAAAGCCTGATGGAAAAATGACCACATGTCAAGCTCATTTGCTACTCCTATAAACTGGAGCTCTGTTATTACTGTTTAATAATTTAAATTAACATATTGAGCCAGCTGATTTACAGATGTCGTGTTATCCCCACTGTGTCTTGTAAGGCAGGTGCTGTTGTTTTTCTTGTTATAAGAACTTGAGGCATAGAGAGGTTCAGTAACTTAAGTTGTTAGTTTTTAATGATCCTGTAATAAATTACCACAAGCTTAGTGGCTTCAAACAATATAAGTCTATTACATTTCTGGAAGTTAGAAGCCCAGCACAAGTCTCACTGGCCACAAGGTATCTACAGCACCATGTTCCTTCTGGAGGCTCTAGGGGAGAATCCATTTACAGCTGCTAGGGCCCCTCTGCGTTCCTTCTGCTTTCCGTGGCCCCTTTGTCCATCCTCAAAGCCAGCAAGAGTGGGCTGCGTCTTCTCACAGTTGGGTCTGTGGTTCTCTGCAGGAAAGGTTTTATGCTTTTAAGGAGTAGTAATTAGTTTGACCTTCCTGGATAGTCTAGGATAATCTCCCCATCTCAAGGTCCTTAACAGTAATTCTAGCTGCAGAGTCCCTTTTGCCATATAAGGTAACATACTCAGAAGTTCTGGGGTTTGGACTGTGAACATCTTTGGGGCTGTTATTCCACCTGCCGTGTTTCCTGAGGTGCTAGAGCAGGTAGACTAGACTCAGGGTTTGAACCTTTGTCTCCAGAGCCCTTTGTCCTTTACTCCTCTGCCCTGCTGTGGCCTGAGATGTTACATGGATGAAATGTTTTTTTTAAGTAATAATGGAAAAGATATCTGGATCTAGAATTGTACAGTATTTTAACAAAACATGGGAGATTTTCTTGTAGAAGAGGGAGAAGAGGTAGACATAGGCTGAAGGGCTGGGCTTGTTTGTCTTAGAAGAATGAATGAGTGGGTCAGTTCTTAACCTGGGTGGGAAATTAGAGGTTTATATCTGTGTTGAGTTTTAAAGGCACAATGGAAATGGAGGTTAATACTTTTTTTTACCTAGAAGAATAGGAAGGAACAGAAAATACTCCTCGTGAAAAGAAAAGGAAGCAACAGGAAAACTTGATAGAGCACAACAGGAAGTGACTTGGGAGCAATTAGACTGACAGTATCTGTGAGTGATCTCAGTAAACGCCAATGGGTTAAATTCTGCTTGAAAAGAGTAAGAGCTGAGACTGGGCAGATGTTAACAAGAAAAGCACTTGAAATAAAATGACACAGAAGGGTAAAGAAGTAAAGAATAGGGGATTGTCAGTTCCCAGGGCTGCTGTTACAAGACGCCGCACACCACGTGACGAGATCGACAGAAATTCATTCTCTCACAGTCTGGAGGCTGGAAGTCTGAGATCAGTGTGTTAGCAGGGCTGTGCTCCCTCTGACACCCTGGGTGGAACCCTTCCTTGCCTAATCCTAGCTTCTGGTGGTGGCAGTAATCCATGGTGTTCTTGGATGGCCCTGCATCCCTCCGGTCTCTGCTCTGGGTCACACGCCTTCTTCCTTCCTGTCCCTGTGCAAATCCCTTTCTTATGGGCGCTCACGCCTGTAATCCTAGCACTCTGGGAGGCTGAGGCGGGAGGATTGTTTGAGCTCAGGAGTTCGAGACCAGCTTGAGCAAGAGCGAGACCCCATCTCTACTAAAAATAGAAAGAGAAAGAAATTAATCGGACAACTAAAAATATATAGAAAAAATTAGCCGGGCATGGTGGCACATGCCTGTAGTCCCAGCTACTCGGGAGGCTGAGGCAGTAGGATCGGTTGAGCCCAGGAGTTTGAGGTTGCTGTGAGCTAGGCTGACGCCACGGCACTCACTCTAGCCTGGGCAACAAAAGCGAGACTCTGTCTCAAAAAAAAAAAAAATCCCTTTCTTATGAAGGACGCCAGCTGTACTGGATTAAGGACCCACCTTGATCTAGTAGCACCTTATCTTAATTGGTATCACCTGCAAAGACCTATTTCCAAATATGGTCACATTCATAGGTGCTGGTGACTAGGACTTCATATCTTTTCAGGGAGATACAATTCAACCCATAATAGAGAATTCTGAGTAAAGATGGTGAGATGAATCATACCATCTTCCCTAACTACCTAGTGAAATGAAGGGGAAAACATTTCATTGACAACAGCCAAAGAAAGAAGTTTGACTTTAAGCAAAAACTACAAACAGCTGAAGGAAGAAAGAGATGATTCTGCTGAGATGTAGCACTGTTCTTAACCCCAGTCCAAATCTCAGAAACACTAACAAGATGAGTTAATTGAATCTTACATATTTTCACTACTGCCCTGCCACCTGGAGTGATGGTGATTAAGAGTAAAATGCTTTTTGGAAAAGCTGAGGAGAAACCCTTGAATATGACTTCCTTGGAATCTCAGCAGAGGCTGGAAGGCTCACCCAGGGCTTATCATTCCAGGGCACTGGGAGGCATTGAAGTGCACAGGAGTTGGATAAATCTGCGGCTGGTGAAGTGAGCCCTAGCAGGGGACATTCAAAGAAATGTCTCAGAAGAGGGTGTAGGACCCAGATTTTTCAGAAAGGACTTACTCAGTCCCAGAATAAATTTCTTCCTCTCCCACCCCATGCCCTTGGATTACAGAACAGTGACTGAGGGTAACACCGAGTCATCGGACTGTTGCTGGGGTGGAGTGGGGTGGAGCTACCAGCTGATACCAGGTGAGGTAGGAAGGGTGTCAAGGAGAAATAACTCATACCCTATCAGAGCAAGTAGAAGTTAGATAATACTTCCCATATTAAACATGACAACTGTTCAAATATTACTATAAAGGGAAAATAAGAAGAGGAAAATGCAAGCCTGAGGAAAAAACTCCTAGGCTGGAAGAAAATAAAACCTAAGGATAGAAGGAGATTTTTCAAGAATGCTTTCCTAGCCCCCATATACCATATTTAAAATTATATTACCACCCCATACACAATCACCATTCATCAACTGTTTATTTTGTGTGTTTTCTCTCTTCATTAGAATATACACTGCTGTGTGAGGACAGGGATTTATGTTTATTTTGTACCCTTTTATGAGGCCTGTCACTGTGAAGGGGGTACCATTCACATTATAATGTAATGTAAATGGCTTTCCCTGCCACACAACCCCAGCTATAAAGTGAGTCACTGGCATGGGGAAGAGACTGGAGATACTCAGTGAAAGCTGGGGAAAAAGATGAAAGAATTTGGAGAAAGCATCAGAGGTATGTTACAAAGACTAAAAGAGTTTAGAAAGCTTATTGATGTCCAGAAAGTACAGAACCCAAAAAGAGATGTTTAGAAATTCAGTGCAAGAAAAATGTTCTGAAATTAATAATAGAACGGAATTTGCAGACGAAAGGCCATACCAGACTGTTCCAGCTGAAATGACAACAAAATCCATATGTGGTATATGAATAGTCCAGTATGATACCCGTTAGCAAAGTGAGTGACAACATCACTACATAGAACATCTGTTGGGGAATTTTGGAGGTTAGCTGAATTTGTTAGAAAACCAAAATATTTGAAATAAATGAGCTAATCTTTCAACTCAAGGAGATATTAATAGTAAAATGAGAATAAAACATAAAAGGAATTGATAAAGATGAGAGAAGAGGGATAGGGTCAGTAAGAAAAGTGGGAGGTGAGGGAGAGAAGGCGTGCACAAGAGACTACTTTTCGCCTATCAATTTAGAAAACTTGTGAGATTTAAGATGCAGATAATTAGTTTTTTGACCATTTAGGAGGAAGTTAATAGGTGTAGAGATTGTTAGACTCTTTGCAGGGCCATTTGGCAGTACCCAGTGAAATAAATTATATCCCTTGACCTGGCAGTTTCACTCTTTGGAATTTGTCCTGTAGAAATGTTTATATGGCGTGCAAGGGTAATAAGGATGTTAGTCACAGCATTCTTTTTAATGGCAAAAAATTGCTGACAGTCCCGTATTGTGGAACATTATGTAGCCCATCCAAAAAAAAAAAAAAAAGAAAAAGAAAGTAGGCTGGGCACAGTGGCTCACACCTGTAATCCCAACACTTTGGGAGACTGAGGCAAGAGAATCACTTCAGGCCAGGAGTTCAAGACTAGCCTGAGCAACATAGTGAGACCTCTTCTCTATAAAAAATAGAAAAATTAGCTGGGTGTGGTGGCGTGTGCCTGTAGTCCTAGCTACTCAGGAGGCTGAGGCAGGAGAATCACTTAAGGCCCGGAGTTTGAGGCTGTAGTGAGCTATGATGACACCACTCCACTCCAGCCTGGGTAACAGAGTGAGATCCTGTTTCAAAAACAAAAAGAGGGCCTGGGTGTGGTGGCTCACACCTGTAATCCTAGCACTCTGGGAGGCTGAGGCGGGAGGATCGTTTGAGCTCAGGAGTTCGAGACCAGCTTGAGCAAGAGCGAGACCCCGTCTCTACTAAAAATAGAAAGAAATGATCTGGACAACTAAAAATATACATAGAAAATAGCCGGGCATGGTGGCACATGCCTGTAGTCCCAGCGGCTGAAGCAGAAGAATTGCCTGAGCCCAGGAGTTTGAGGTTGCTGTGAGCTAGGCTGACGCCACGGCACTCTGGCCCGGGCAAGAGAGTGAGACTCTGTCTCAAAAAAAAAAAAAGGCGGGGTGGAGAGGGCAGTAGATCTGTGTGTTTGCCATGAACTGACAGAGCAAGCTATAGTACATTTCACATTTAGAAAAGATTATGTTTTAAATATTATGTATCTACTATAGATGTAATTAAAAAATATATATTCCTAATGCATGTTTCAAGTGAGTTGGTGGGGTGGGTCTTGGGGCAAAGCCCAAAGACTTGTTCTTTAAGCGAGTCTTTTCAGGAATTCTGATGCCAACCTTGGTTTGAAAATCATTGAAATGTTGGAGTGCCTCAAATAATGTACCCTTTTCTTCTTCTTTTCCCCAGGGCCTGGAAATTTACACTCCAGGATTCCAGGACAAACACAGTAAGTTGCTGATGGTGATCATCAGTAACGTTTTCACATGATCTTGTAACAATGGGAGAATAGGAGGTTGGCGAAGGGACGTGGGGAAGAGATGGGGTTTCTTGGCCATCCAGTCACGAACGAGCAGGCAGAGCTGGGCAGGGCACCTTTTGCTGACGGTGAGCAAGCTGGGCTTACTAAACGTTTTGGCAGGAGGAGCCCTCCTCACACATTCACGCTCATTCCGGTGTTGTCTAGAAATGTTTGTATTTCTGAAAGCTTTGCAACACTTTGAATTTGCTGTGGTTTGTAGTGAAGGCTCCAAAAGAACCACAGGGTCCTTTTTATGCATAAGATCTTCGCTTCGTGAAACAAACATTTCTAGACTTGACTTGTCTCTCATCCTGTTTCTGGCCTTAGGAGGTCACTGAGATAGTGAACCCCATTCATGGAGCCCAGTAAGTAATGCTGTCTTTATATGTGTAGGAATCAAGGCAGCGTTACCTGTTCTCATTCTTCAGATGGCACTTTATTTTCTCCTTTATCTCTGTAGGAAGCAAAGAAAAAAGTAGATCAAGCTTACAAAAGAATTTGTGCATGTGGCAAAAGAAAGTAAAATAGCTTAATATCCAAATGTCAGTGTTTCCTCTTGTTAGGCTAAGACATTTCTTCCTCCTAAGCTTACTCTATGTCTCCAGTTACCTTTTCTTTCACGAAAATCCCGTTTGGGTAAAATTAGTATTAATGATCCATATAGTTAGAGGCAAGATCCCAAGATGATTCTTTTTTTTTTTTTTTTTGAGACAGAGTCTCACTCTTTTGCCCAGGCTAGAGCGAGTGCTGTGGCGTCAGCCCAGCTCACAGCAACCCCAAACTCCTGGGCTCGAGCAATCCTTCTGCCTCAGCCTCCCGATCAGCTGGTCCCACAGGCATGCGCCACCATGCCCGGCTAATTTTTCTATATATTTTCAGTTGTCCGATTAATTTCTTTCTATTTTTAGTAGAGACAGGGTCTCGCTCTTGCTCAGGCTGGCTTTGAACTCCTGAGCTCAAAAATCTGCCCGCCTCAGCCTCCCAGAGTGCTAGGATTATAGGCGTGAGCCACCGTGCCCGGCCCCAAGATGATTCTTTGTATGGAATTTTTTTTATTTCTTTGGAGACAGGGTCTCACTCTGTTGTATGGGCTAGAGTACAGTGAAGTCATCATAGCCCACTGCAACCTCAAATTTCCTACCTGCCTCAGCCTCTCAACTAGCTGGTACTATAGGCACGCACCGTGATGCCCGGCTCATTTTTTCTATTTTTTTTTTCTTAGAGATGGGGTCTCACTGTGTTTGCTCAGGCTGGTCTCCAACTCCTGACCTCAACTGATCTCCCTCCTTGGCCTCCCAAAGTGCTAGGATTACAGGCGGGAGCCACCATGCCCTGCCTGTATGGATTTTTTTTTTTTTTTTTTTTCTTTCTTTCTTTTTTTTTTTTTTTTTTAAAGAGCTCACATGTTTTTCTTTTCCACTGGGGAGTAATTTAATGAATTTTTTTAAATATAAAAAACAGACTGTGTAGAACATATCTCTGATTGCTACATTTCTGATTGTAGTGTTTGTGTTTGTGAGAGTGGTGTTGGGTAACAGCAGAGCGTCTGCAGGCCTTGCTGGGCTGTGAGAGCTCTCCTCCTGCTGGGGGCTGAGCAAGGACCACCTTGCTGCTGCATGCAGAGGACGCCAGAATGGAGCTGGCCCCCACTGCAGATAGTAACGGGTTTTTCCTACTTCTCAGAGAGCTGTAACTGTTTGTCCTTTAAACTTACATTTGCTAAATAAAAGGGAAATGTGCACAGCATCATCGAGCACGTAGGTGCTTGGCAGCTCCCTTGCTCTCATCCTGTCTCCTCTCTCACACAGGCGTACGTGGGCTCCGCAGTCATGACTGACGAGACGGCGGTGGTTTCTTCCCCTCCTCCATACACGGCATATGCCACACCAACCCCTGAGGTAGGGACACCTGAGTGTCCTTATGAGCGAAGCTTGAGGTCTCTCTGCTGCTGTCCTGGTTTTTTTGTTTGTTCTTTTTTAAACTTTGAGCCAGCATTGGAGATAACTAGAAATGTACTCTAAACCTTTTCTTCTTTAAACAGATTATTCCTCATTGCCTTTTGCTTTCATGAAATAAAGCAGCTACTTTGTATTTTTATTTATGTTCAGCACATTTTGTTTTTTAAGGTAGACCTAAAAATGAATCATGTTAATGACAATTGCTTTGGGTAATGAGATTTTGATGACTTATAGTTTATATATAATGAATTACTTGAATTATTATAATCAGGAAAAAATGGTATTTTTATTTTGGAGAAAAAACCTTAAATCATATGTCCAATACCTGGGGTGTCCCCTGTCCTCATGATGCTGACTGTCCACTGGTATATATGTCAGTCTCTGTCTTGTGGTGCACCCTCCTTTTTTGTTAACTTTTAATTTTGAAATAAATTCATAAGAAGTTATAAAGATGGTATAGTCAGCCTCATGTACTTTTCTCCTGGTTTCCCAGTTGTTATGTTAGATCAAATCAAAACCAGGCATTTGGAATTGGTACATTGTTTATGTCTAATCCTATGTCATTTTATCACATATGTAGATTGTGTAACTACCACTTCAGTCAAGATGTAGAATTCTTCACAGAGCCTTCCTCCTGCCACACGTTGTTACAGTCACACCCTCCTTCCCCTTCGCTGACCCATCACCCACTGATCTGTTCTCCAGTTCCATGGTTCTGTCATTTTAACAATGTGCATGGACCATGCAGCATGTGATCTTTTGAGTTTGATATTTTTCACTCAGCCTGCTGCCCTTGAGATCCATCCAGGTTGTTGTGTATACCAGTAGTCTGTTCCTTTTAATTGCTCGAGTAGTGTTCCATGGTATGGATGTGACACATTTTGTGTTGAGGGACATTTTGGTTGTTTCCAGCTTTTGGCTATTGACATTAAACCTAATGTAAACACTTGTGTACAGGTTGTTGTGCAGACGTAGGTTTCATTTATCTGGGATAAATGCCCAAGTGTGCAATTGCTGGGTCAGATGTATGGTGAGTAAATGTTAGTTTTTTAAGAAAAACTCGGACAAACTACAGGTACTCTAACATTTTACTTTCCCACCGGTAATATGTGAGTAATCCAGTTCTCTACATCTTCACGAGCAGTTTATGTTGTCACTTTTTTTAATTTAGCTATTCTAGTATGTATAGTGATTTCTCAATGTGGTCTTAATTTCCTTAGCCGTACTAGCTAGTGATGTCGACCATCTTTTCCTGTGTTTATTTGTTATCTCTGTCTTCGGTGAAATGTCTCTTCATGTCTTTTGCCCATTTTTCTAATTGTCTTGTTATTTTTTTAATAGTGAGGTTTTTGCATTCTTATATAGCATGTTCAGGATATGAAATTTTTGTAGATAAAAGTTGAGTATCCCTTATCCAAAATGCTTGGGACCAGAAGTGTTTTGGATTTTGGATTTTTTAAAATTTTGGAGTATTTGCACATATATAATGAGATCTTGGGGTTGGGGCCTACATCTAAACACAGAATTCATTTATGTTTCATATATACCTTATAAACCTAGTCTGAAGGTGATTTTATGCAAGATTTTCTAAGTTTGTACATGAAGCAAAGTTTATGTATATCGAACCACCAGAAAGCAAAGGGTCACTATCTTGTATTGGCACTTAAAAAGTTTCAGATTTTGAGGCATTTTGGATTTTGAAATTAGGGATGCTCAACCTGTATGTAGTCTATAGCTAGTCTTTTTATCCTCCTAATAAGGCCTTTTACAGAGTTTTAAGTTTGGATGCATTCCAATTTATCAGTTGTTTCTTGTTTTCTGGATTGTGCTTTTGTGGTCATGTTTAATGCTTCACCTAGCCCAAGTTTCCTACGATTTTCTCCTGTGTTATCTTCTGAAAGTTTTATAGAGTTAGGTTCTACATTTAAATCTCTGATCATTTTGAATTAATTTTTTATGACATATATATCTATCTCTGGGTTGTATTGTGTGTATCTCTTTCTGGGTTCTCTGTTCTGTTCCATTGATGTGTCTTTATCTTCCTTTGATACCCCATAGTCTTAATTATTGTAGCTATATAATAAGTCTTAAAATGGGGTAAACTGATCAGTCCCTCCCCCCTAAATTCCTTTTGGGAATTTGTTCAGTTCTGATTCCCTTGCCTTTCCATGTAAATTAGAATAAATTTGTTTATATCTACAGCAAAATCTTGTAAGGCTTTTGCAGGAATTGCTTTAAGCCTGTGAATCATGTTAATTTGGAGAGTTATCTTTACCTAATGACGAATCCTCCAGTCTGTAAACATGCACTGCCTCTATATTTAGATCCTCTTTGATTTCTTTCATCAGCATTTTGTACTTTTCAGTATAAAAATCCTATACAAGTTTTGTTAGATTTACAAGTATTTGTGTTTTTTTGAGTATTTGATATAATTGTATTTTTAATTTTAGTTTTCTCATGTTTATTGCTAGTATATAGAAATAGAATTGATTTTATATGTTGATCTTGTAGCCTGTAAACTTATTAAACTCACCCTTTTTTCTATAGATTCTTTGGGATATGCTACATAGACGATCATGTCTATGTAGCATATCTACATGTCTACAAATAGGGACAGTTTTATTTCTTCCTTTCTAATCTGCATGCATTTTATTTCCTTACCTTGCCTCATTGCCTTGGTTGGAACTTCCAGTGTTATGTTGAATAGCAGTGGTGAGAGAGGACATCCTTGCCTTGTTCCTGATTTTAGGGGGAATGTATTCAGTTTTAAGGATGCAATTCATTTAGTATGAATTTAGTGTTTAATTCAGTATTTAATAAGCATTGAATTTGGTATTTAATTCGTTTTTAAGTATGCCCTCAGTATTTAATGCATTCGTTAAGTATGATGTTAGCCGGATTTTTTGGTAGATACTTTTTATCAAGTTGAGGAAATTCCCTCCTTTTCTAGTTTGTGAGAGTTTTTTTAATGAATGGGTGTTAGATTTTTTGAAATACTTTTTCTGCATTAATTAATATGATCATGTGTTTTTTTTTTTTAAGCCTGCTAATATAATGGATTACATTGATTAATTTTAATACTGAACCAGCCTTTCATTCCCTGGAATGAACCCTAGTTGGTCATGGTGTATAATTATTCTTTTTTGTGTTTTGCTTAATTCTTTTTTTTTTTTTTTGGAGACAGGGTTTCACTCTGTTCTCATGTGGCCCAGGCTAGAGTACAGTGGTGTCATTGTAGCTCACTGCAACCTCAAGCTATCAAACTCCTGGGCTCAAGTGATCTTCCTGCCTCAGCCTTCCAAGTAGCTGGGACTATAGGCATGAACCACCATACCTGGCTGTTTTTTTCAGACAGGGCCTTGCTCTGTCTGCTAGACCTAGAGTACAATGGCGTCATCGAGGCTCACTGCAACCTCAGAACTCCTGGGCTCAAAGCGATCTGCCTAAGCCTCCCGAGTTGCTGGGACTATAGGCAAGCGCCACGTGTGCCTGGCCTATGTTGCTGATTTCTATTTGCTGATATTTGTTAAGAATTTTTTCATCTATAGTCACAAGGAATATTAGTCTGTAGGTTTCTTTCTTTGTACTTTCTTTGTCTTATTTTGATATCAGGGTAATATTGGCTTTATAGAATGAGTTGGAAAGTGTTTTCTGCTCTTCTGTTTTCTGGAAGAAATTGTGTAGAATTGGTGTTAATTCTTCTTTAAACATTTGCTAGAAATCTCTAGTGAAACTATTAATATCCAGGCCTGGAGATTTCTAATTACAAATTCAATTTTCCTTCCCTTCCCCTTCCCCTTCCCCTTCCCCTT